ATTACTAAACAGTAATCTATGAGTTTTGACGATACACACCCGATCCTTGGGTACTCCACCCAATATAATCGAGTTTTGAGGATACACGCCCGATCCCTTGGTACTCCACCCTATATAACCGAGTTTTGAGGATATCGCCCGATCCTTGGGTACTCCACCCGACATAACCGAGTTTTGAGGATACCTCCTGATCCTTAGGTACTCCACCCGACCTATGATCTATCACATATCATACTAGATAGGGTCTATATCATAATCAATAAACAAGACTAATCCAAGTCTTAAGGCCTAAGCAAAATCATTCATACAATTCATGCATTAAAATCAACATACAGGCAATAAAAAAGCCAAACCGGAGCCGGTTCAAATCTTACCGGCGCCGGTTCATGAATAAATCAACTGAACCGTACTAAGCCTTCAACAGACCGGTGCCGGTTCTATGCATGACCGGCGCTGGTTGCCCCCTGGGCAACCGGTCAACTCTCAGTTGACCCGCCATTTCAAATCTAATGCGTGTCAAACCTAATCACAACATGTATTAAATTAATTATAAACAATCATTTTATGCACATTTTATCTCTAAACATATCACATATGTTTTTATAAACATTTTCATTTCACAAATCATGCATATTTCAATAGTTCATCTCATACAAGCCTAATCACTTTGGCTAATCACATGTTTAATCTCATTTAAAAATCATTATGAACACATATAACATTTACTTAGGTAATCTCATACTTAACCCAAAAATTACAAGACATTACGCCATCCACTCACCTTAAATGAGCTTTAAGAAGTTCTACCCTTCTTAGTTGAACTCCGGCGAAACTCCGGCGAAACTCCGGCGAAACTCCGGCGAAACTCCGGCGAACTCTAGAAACACTTTAGTCAAGCTCCTAACATGATTTTATCATCACAAAACCAGTATCAACACAAATAACTTCTAAAAGGTTATTTTCCGGTGAATCGGTCATTTTGGCTTCTAAGTTCGTTCTTGGACTTAGAACTACCATCCAACCCCTCATTCTACACTTCTAAACATGTAGAACAAACTTAGGGGTCCTCCATATGATATATAAGTCATATGATAAATAAAAAGTAAAGGAAAAGTTATTATAAAGTCATTAGCTTATTATTATACACTTTTCCTAAATTTTTCCTTCTTCGATCTTCCTCCTTGGACCTCTATTGCTTGAGCTCGAAATTTGCAGCTATGGATGAGAGTTTGAGAGCTTATTTTCTCTTTCTTCGTGGCCTTGGTCGAGCTCTATGGTTGGAGGGAGGAGGGGATGACACTTTTTGTCGTCTCTTTTGGCAAATGAGTGAAGGAAAATGGGTCCTCCTTGTACTTTTGATGCTCATCACCTCACCCCACTTCACCTCTAAGTCAAACCACCCACCCTCACATTAATTTGAGCACACAAAAACGTGGGGTGGCCCCCACTCACGTGGGAGGTCATCCCTTTGTCTCTTGAATTGTACAATCGGCCCCGAAAGTTATATTTTCCTGACTGTTTTAATTATATTTTATTGTATCAGGTCAAATAAAATATATTGTGTGATTTCAATCACTATGGAACTTTAGAATAATTATAGATTCCCCAACTTTAATTTAGAAGTCTCCGAAATTCAATTTGGGTTATTATCAGATAAATTATCGATACCGGTAATTGGGCCTCGTTTGACCAACCGGTCAACCCTACGCCCTTTCCATGGCCCAAATAGAATATAAACCATCATATAAATATTATCTAGATCAAGATGAATATAATATGTGGTCTCGGAATTATCGGGTGGTCCCCGCTCCCGATGTGGGCCCCGCTCCCGATGTGGGGCCTCCCGATCTAGACCAATTCACTATTCACGCAAAAGTAATAACAAAAATTTACAACCTCGTAAATTCATTAACCATTTCATAAGGTTCAATACATGATTTACATAAAAGTAAATATATTTGAGGACGTTGTTACACTGGTGGTGGCAGAGGCAACAATTGTTTTTCATTTTCTTTATTTTTTGAAATGTTTTATTTTATAAATATTTTATTAATTTATTATTATTTTTATTATTTTGTTATGAATTAAAACACATCAAATGCTTAATTACCTTTTTGCGCCGCACATCTCGGTGCCGCAATTTAACGCGTGCGGCGCTTATTTTAAAAAAGCGCCGCAAAATATTTTTTAAATTAATAATTTAATGTGTAACCGTGCGGCGCTTTTCTGTAAATAAGCGCCGCAAATATTTTTTAAATTAATAATTTAATGCGTAACCGTGCGGCGCTTTTCTGTAAATAAGCGCCGCAAATATTTTTTAAATTAATAATTTAATACGTAACCGTGCGGCGCTTTTCTGTAAATAAGCGCCGCAAATATTTTTTAAATTAATAATTTAATACGTAACCGTGCGGCGCTTTTCTATAAATAAGCGCCGCAAATTTTCAACATTTTTTTAAAATATTAAATTATATTTAGGATCTTTCAAAAACGTCGTGTAACAGAATTAACAAAATTCAAAAAGTGTAAACTGTTTAAAGTCATCACAATATCAACAACATGAACTTCACAAATTACAAAATCAGCAAAGTGTAAGCAATTCAAGTAACCAACAGATTACAAAAATCTTCATAAAAATGATTTCAAAAAACACTTAACACAATACATAACCAATGTAATCAACTTTTACATATTTAAGAGTACATCCAAGAAAAATCGTGCCCATATATTGCGAATGTTATTAAACTCATCTTCAGAATATGCCTCAGTTCTTGAATACCAATCCTACAAATATTTAGATAAAATAAAACATAAATAAAAAATATTACAACTTTTACATTAGAAAAAATTAAACGAAGTTAAAAAATAAGAATAAATAATGATATACCTTTCCAATATCAAAGCTATCAACATACGAAATCACTTCCCATATGTATCGCATGGTATAATATCCGCATTCTGTGTTTCCGTTTTGTCTGGCACACTTTTTTGAAATACAAATTTACAAAATATATGTATCAAAGTTAATGGTGATTGAAATAAGTTATTGATGAATTTACCTTAACATTATGCCATGTGATTGGCTTTCCATCACCATTTCTTGCTGAAGCAACTCTGTATGCTCTACATTAAAAAAATTATGTTAAATGATATAAATAATAATAATAATAATAATAATCTATAGCAATTATTATAAATAAAAAATATTAAACGAATACTTACAATGCTAGATCTTTCTGAATGCTGATATGAGAAAAGCTTGAGATTGAATTGAAGATATAGCCTTTATTAACCGAGGGGCAAATGACTATCAAAATCCAATGAAATCTAAATATCAAAAAAATTACAATTAATTAAAAAATTAAATTTACATAACCAGATACATTATATAAAATAAAACTATTTACCCTTCATTATATGGAAGCAAGATCATTCTTTTTCCAAATGTCGCACACAAAGATTGTTTCATATATGTTATTGTGCCCTTCTTGTCAAGTTGATAAGAACCATAAGAGCACAATAAGGGGCACAAAAACACAACATCATCACGTTGCAAATCATTCAATTTAGCTAAGGCACACCTATAATAAACATAATATAGCATTATACAATTTTGAAGTTCAAATCATTTCATTAACTTTAATTTATATATTGTTATATTTATTTAAAATATACTTACAATGCAAAGGATTGAATGATGCACATATCCACAGAATCACCCTCGAGTAGTTCAGTCAAGTCTTTACGATCGATGATAGTCCCAAATTCACTGTTTTGCGGATAGTGAAAAGCATCAACAGGTAAAGCAATAGAGAATTTACACACCTCTGGCTCATACCACTCTAGCATCTCATGTAGCTCCAATAAATCTTCAGTTAGTGACTGCAAAATAGTATCACTAACCAATGGGTATGTGCTAGGAGGAACCACAACCCGAGGAGACTCTCTCGGAATAAAAGCTTTATTCTTTTGAATCACATCTTTCCGCTTTGACTTTACCTGATCCTAAAAAAATGGTCAGAATGACAGTAACATAGAGTAATTTTGTATTGTTTGATAATTGCAAAGAGTTGTTTATTCACCTCTCCTTCAAAAAAAACTAAATGACTAGGCCACTCAACAAATGATCCTATAGCGTCTGTCAACACATATATATCAGCATTTTCATTTGGAACTAAAAGAGGACATTGCTCAAAACCTGTAAAAACCATTGAAACAAAAAACAAACTTAAATAATAATAACATTTAAAGATTTGCATCTCACAAAATCTGTGAACACTATATATGGAAACAAAGGATGACATTTCACAAAACCTGTATAAATCATAGATATGTTAACTTTAAAGGTATTAGCAGACATCGGAATATTATGTATAATGGCCCCCGGGGCTGTATTATAAGCCAAAGCCATTGCTACATATTTCAAATCTTTGTGTCCATCTTCTGTTTGTGACTCAACAGCTAGCTTACAGGATGAACCGTCCTATAATTATTTTCAAAAAAAAGTTAATAAATATTGTAGACATTAATAAATATATATGATTTTAATAATTACTTACAACAAAAACTTTTCGTGGAATAGGTGCGGTGGAGTTCATAGTGTCTGCATCTACTGTTTGAGAATGCGTAAATGGAAATGTGGTAGATTGGAATCCTCTTTGAGCAAAAGCTTTTTCCATATCTTTCATCCACTGATCCTGTAACTTCTTCAAATCAGCATCGCTCAAATTACCAATCTTACGTGAACTCCTCGGCTCTCGCTCAAACACTCTTTTATGCCCCACACCTCCTCCAACACCGCGTACACGTCCAGGATAATCAGGTTTCTCAAATATCTCGGTAAGAATATCATGTCGTCTGTGTGGCTTCCACGTCCCTGTAGCAACATCATCTTGAATTTTATCCTATTACATATAAAAAAAGAGTTACAAAATTTATACGTAAAACATTCTTATGTGAAACGTTTATACGTAAAATATACTTATGTGAAACATACTTACAAGTTTTTCTTTCTTCTTTTTCATGGCTTCGGTGTTACTCGGGAAAGCTAGTTGTCCATCTGCTGTCAATCCAGATCTAGCACAAAACCAACTCACATGTCTCGGAATGTCATCAGAAGATACGCTAGATTTTGTGGAATCCACTTCAGACGTAGTCAAAAACTGATCTAGTAATCCTTGATCTTTCCATTTCGGTATGGAAAGTGCATATCCGGAGCGACCCATATGGTGAGGGTAAATATTCAGTAACGCAGCTTGTTTGTTTTTATCACTTAATTCCTGCATAAAATTTAAAAAGTATGGAATTCATATTATAAAACAAAATTGAATTCAATAAAATTACATTTGGATTATACCTGAAACTCCGGAGTCATGCTCCTAGCGATAAAATCCTCCCACACATCTTGTGTCAAAATGCCTTTATACTTCACATAAGCTTCACCACTATCCTGTCCAACTGGTCGTGTCTTATAAAAAAAGCCAGTCCTCAATCGGTTTCTAAAGTCCCGATGTAACTTTCCCATCTTTTTTATGGTCAACTTGTACATGGTGTCATCAACAAAATACTCATCCTACATAGTGGTGATTTAATATATGCATTAGGACTTGTAATCTTTTCTTATTATTTATAAAGTTAAAATATATAATTAAGTGTACATACCTGGATCTCTTTCCACATCTGCAATTTTAGGGATTCGGGGACATGTTTCCAACTTTCAATGTTGATGTTTACCCGAGCACGTACTATCTTGCCCACAAAAGATTTGAACTTCTCCACCCACGCACCAACTGGCTGACCATTTTTATCAAAATCAACTATTTTTTTCCCGTCGCTAGTTCTGCGCCCACTGCTACTATGTTCCTCCGCCGTAACATGAGGTTCCTCATTGAGAATAAAGTCATCTCCATCACTATCACTCATAGTGTGTAGCTCCTGCAACAGTGTTATTATTAGAAGCACAAATAATATATGAAAGAAAAATGAATTTTAATTCAAGAAAAAAACATATTAACGTTAAGATTACTTACAATTCACTCATGATATCACTTTGACTTTTTGAAGAAAATTTCTATGCCATCGTTATGATTTCCAACAAATGAAAGATCATCTTCATTGTAATCGATTGTTGCATTTCTGTCATGCATGCCAGTGGACAATGACGGCATATCTTCAATATAATCATCTTCTCCAACGTCACAATCATCCACATTTAATTTTTTCTTACCTGGTAAAACAACTGACCATCGTTTGTTTGAGGGATCCTCTACATAAAAAACTTGTTCAGCTTGGGATGCAAGTATAAACGGATCATCACGATATCCGGGTCGAGTAAAATCCACTAATGTCACTCCTGTTTGATCACGCTGAACACCTCTTCGAATATCGGCCCACTGACACTTGAAAAGTGAAAAACTCCTGTTCGTGTAATTCAACTCCCATATATCCTCAATTTTTCCATAGTGAGACATTGTTGCATAAAGAGGATTCTGATCATTTGAACTTGCATATTCTGTTGAAGATGCTACCACTGATACCCCACTATTCTGTAATACAGATTTGGCATCCTGTCGGGTAGTATAAAAGGTGTAGCCATTGATATCGTATGCTTCATATGAATCAATTGTGCATTTAGGACCATAAGCCAACCACTTAACATCTTCATCAACCTCATTATAAACATCATTCCTGTCATTGAAGATGAAGTCTTTAAACCAAGATGAAAACGTACGATTGTGTTCTTTAGTCAACCATACTTCACTTTTCAACGGAAATTGAGTCTTCAAAGCATTCATATGTTGTTGCACATGTGGAGAAATAATTTCTAAATGATGCAACACGAGAAGATGGGCCTTTTCCACTAACTCATTGTCCACATTCTTTAGTAATTTCTTTCCAAGTATGCCTTTTCCTTCATTCCTATCATCATGTCTAGACTTTGGAACACCTAATGATTCAACATTCATCAAATAAGGTGTGCAAAATTCAATGACTTCTTCATCAATTACACCCCTGATTATACTTCCTTCAGGTCAACATCGATTTTTCACCTTTGATTTCAAATATCCCATATGTCTTTCCATTCCGTACATGTATCGTAAAAACACAGGACCACACATCTTGACTTCTCTAACCAGATGTACCACAAGATGCACCATAATGTCAAATAGTGAAGGTGGAAAATACATTTCAAGCTGACACAATGTAATAACCACTTCAGCTTGCAACGCATCAAGTTTCTCAGGGTGAATTACTTTCTGACATATGGAATTGAAGAAGAAACACAATCTCATGATCGCACATCTAACATGATCAGGTAAAAGCCCTCGTAGAACAACAGGCAACAAATGTTGCATCAGAACATGATAATCATGAGACTTCAAACCAACCAATTTCATATCCTTCAATGATACGAGATTCTTAAAATTTGAAGAATATCTAGAAGGCACTTTGATGCCATATAAGCTTTCACAAAAAATTCGTTTCTCAACCTTTGAGAGTGTGTAGCAACCTGGTGGAAGATAAAAACCATTTTCCCGCGGTTGTGGTGCCAATTCTTTTCGAATATTTAAATGTTCAATCATGTCTTTTCGGATATTAATTCCATCCTTTGTCTTTCCGGGAACATTCATAATGGTCGAAATGATGCTGTCACACACATCTTTTTCAATGTGCATAAGATCAAGACAATGCCTCACAGATAAGTCCTTCCAATACGGAAGTTCCCAAAAAATAGACTTCTTCTTCCACAAACTCTGTTTGTTCCGCTTATATGGCTTACCAAAAACTGTGTTCAAATCTTTGACCTTATCATATATTTCTGATCCACTTAATACACGTCGAGGAACACCGTGTTCAGCTTTTCCATTAAATGTCTTTTTGAGTGCACGATAACGATGGTTTCGTGGAAGAAATCTTCGATGACTCATGTATACATTCTTTTTGCAATTGGGTAATCGCAAATCAAGAGTGTCATCTTCACAAATGGGACATGCCTTTCCACCTTTAACTGTATATCCAGAAAGATTTCCATAAGCTGGAAAGTCATTAATAGTGCAATACAACAAAGCGCGCAAATTAAAATTTGTTTTTGTGTGAGGTACACATCAATATCATTACCGGATTGTTGTGGTCCCGAGATAAGCAAAGACAACATTATGTACTTCCTCTTCATGCACAACCATGAAGGCAAATTATAAATAACCAATAAAACTGGCCAAGTACTATGTTGACTACTCAATGTGCCATATGGATTCATACCATCAGTCCATAATCCAAGTCTCAAATTCCTGTCTTCTTTGCCAAAATCAGGATATTTCAAATCAATTTGCCTCCACTGTGGTGCATCAGATACATGTCGCAAGTACTCATCTTTTTTCCTGCCTTGAGCATGCCACACTAAGTTTTTTGCATCTTTCTCATTCATGAATAATCTTTTAAATCTAGGAATGATAGGAAGATACCACAACACTTTGGCAGGTGTTTTGGTGTATTCAACATCAAACCCAACATTAATACCCGTCTTCTTCTTATAACGTGAAGCGTGACACTTTGGACATTCATTTAGGTTTTCATATTCATTGCGGTACAGTATGCAATCGGCTGGGCATGCATGAATCTTCTCCCATTATGTTCCCATTGGACACAACAACTTTCTAGCCTTATAGCTCGTATCGGGAAGTGTATTTCCTTCTGGAAGCATTTCTTGAAGCAATATCAGCAACTCAGTGAAACTAACATTACTCCACCCATGTTTAGCTTTCAAGTGAAATAATTTGAGAACATCAGATAGTTTGGAGAATTCAGAACCCGTGAATAGCGGTATATTGGCGGCCTCAATCAAATTCTCATAAGATTTTGGTTGATAATCAAAATTATCATAAACATCATTCAAGAGATCATCAATTCTATCTTCATTGGCATCATCAGCCGCAACACCATCATCAATATCATTTGAAGTAGTAGTAATATGAGTAGCTTTACGCTTTAGATGACTAGAAGTTGCTCCAGAAAAAAGGTGTTCGACATCCACACGATTCTCACCATGGAATGTCCATGTCATATAGTTTTCTCTAAAACCCTTCTCAAATAAATGCTGAAGAACTATGTTCACGTCATTCTCTCTTTTAATGTTACGTCACATTGAACAAGGACATAAAATTCCTTTTTGTCCTTGTTGCTTCTGATGCGCAACAGCCACTTTCACAAACTCATGAACACCATTGAAAAATTGAGAAGTATTTCTCAAACCATACATCCAGCTACGATCCATGATTAACAACACTAAACTTTATCTAAAAATAAAAAAATAATAATAAATTATTGCATACTTTTTTTCTTTTTAAGCACAATTTTTATGAAGATTGCAATTGAGGGTTATGCTAATATAAAACAACCTCTTGGAAGTATTTTGCTGCTCATTACAACTATTCCAAAATTATATTACTCAAAATTAATTAAAATAAAAAATATTGAAAAAAATTATTATTAAAAAATATACATACCTGCGGATCGGAGGTTGGAGTAAGCGGACCGGAGGAGCGGCGGAGGTGCGACGTGCGCGCGGCTTACGTGCGGAGGTGCGACGTGCGTGCGGCGGAGGTGCGACGTGGTGCGTACGTGCGTGCGCGACGGCAACCTCCGAAAGTGAGCGGAGGAGCGGCGGACCGGAGGAGCGGCGTCGACGGCAACCTCCGAAGGTGCGACGGCCGCTAGCTGGGTCTGAGGGTGCCGGCTTCGACGGCAACCTCCGAAGGTGAGCGGCGGACGGACGACGTCCCTCGACGGCTTCGACGGCAACCAAGGTGAGCGGAGGAGCGGCGGACCGGAGGAGCGGCGGACCGGAGGAGCGACGCTTAGGGTTTCTGCCTGAAAAACTCTATTTCTCTGCTGCGAGCGACGGCTATGGCGCATAAACTGGAACAGTTTATGCGGCGCTTTTTACAAAAAGGCGCCGCACGCCCCTTTTAAAAATCCGGTTTTTTTAAAAAATAGTTTATCTTCTGCGGCGCTTTTTACAAAAAGGCGCCGCACACCCCTTTTAAAAAATCCGAATTTTTAAAAAAAGTAGTTTAATTTCTGCGGCGCTTTTTAGAAAAAGGCGCCGCACACCCCTTTTAAAAAATCCGAATTTTTTAAAAAAGTAGTTTAATTTCTGCGGCGCTTTGTAAAAAAAGGCGCCGCACGCCCCTTTTAAAAATCCGAATTTTTTAAAAAAGTAGTTTATTTTCTGCGGCGCTTTTTAAATATAAGCGCCGCCTAGGAAATCGGAACACGTATGCGGCGCTTTTCTGCATATAGGCGCCGCACGCCTCTTTTAAAAATCCGATTTTCAAAAAAATTAGTTTTTTTTGAATAAAAATTTGACGTCAGTCTGCGGCGCTTTTATAAATAAGCACCGCAAAGACCCGAAAAATTAAATAATTAAAAAATTAAACACATATTAGAGGTGCTTAAATAGAAAAGCGCCGCACGTCGTATATTTTGAAGGCGCTTGTTTATTAAACGCCTCAAATGACGTGACGCAATTTAACAAATTTTTACTAGTGAAGGTCATATTTGTTCAAACACACATA